TTGTAAGTATGCAACTATGGCCCAAATGTTTCAAGCATATGTTTCTTTATAAAACGTGGATACTACTTCCATAACATTGTCCACTGATTTGTGGACTTGAGTTTAAAGCTTCTGTGTTAGAAAATGTACTGTCCCAATCTGTATTTATTTACTTATTCTAGAGCTAGAAAAACTGATTAGGTACTCGCATAGATACCTGGTATGGCTGTAGATGTATGTGTCTCCTCCTGCAGATACCTGTTAATTAGAGCTATGCGTAAATAAAATAATACTAGAGCTTGGAACTTGAACACTGAAATAAGCGTTTGTGTAAGTGCTAAATCAGCTTCAAAACCAAACCTGTCAGAAGTCCATTGCAGAGGTCTGTGCAACTGACTAACGTTCCTTAAGTGGCTTAGTGGAAGTTACTGTTAGCTTTCAAGTCACTGCTGATTTTTTTTCCTGTGTTCAGCCCAATCAACAAAAGCTAATCTGCTGACTTTACAAGTTGATTGTGCAAGATTAGTCATTCTGTTTTGTTTGTCTGCCCTTAAAAAAATAAATATCAGCTGATATAATGGATTGGATTTATATAGCGCTTTTCAAAACACCCAAAGCGCTTTTACAATGCCACTATTCATTCACTCTCGCATTCACACACTGGTGGAGGCAAGCTACGGTTGTAGCCACAGCTGCCCTGGGGCAGACTGACAGAAGCGAGGCTGCCATATCGCGCCATCGGCCCCCCCTGGCCAACACCAGTAGGCGGTAGGGTAAAGTGTCTTGCCCAAGGACACAACGACCAGGACAGAGAGCCCGGGGATCGAACCGGCGACCTTCCGGTTACAGATACGCTTCCCAACCCCCTGAGCCACGGTCGCCCCCATATATTGGAATGCTGGATTTTTAAATCACCACATGCCAGTACAGATTACAATCTGTGTCTATACTTTGGACCCATACAATGGATGTATGCCGCTTGCTGACCAGCTTGGAAGCCAAATTTGGCACTCCACCCCAAACCTGGCTCCAAAACACTAACATGGTGGAAACTTGAAAAGATATATATATATATATCTACTTGCTTGTGAACACTTGAGTTGCTTTGCAAATGTAATAAATATATTTCGTTTTCTTCCAGCGATCAATCATAATTCATTTGATATCTCAAATATCCAGAACCCTTGAAGCCTTACAAGAGATACACCGTCAGTCTGCACGTGCGACCGAATAAGGACACCTGCAACATGAAGCATCTTAACAACAGCGAAGGAACGTTTGCAAGCACAAAGTTTTATTTCATGGAAGGCAGTAAGGCACAGGCACTCTTCTCCAAAACAAGCAGACACACATACATTACAAGTCACCAACAAAACACTCTGACCTCTTGAAACTGCTTTCCCGTGTCATTCTTAAAGCTCCTGTGAGTGGTCCCGCAAACATCAGCAGTTACAATTTGACACAGAATTCAATGGTGCTGCAGTGGTCATCCATCCCAGAAGAAGACACCAGAGGCTTCCTACTGGGTTACACAATCCACTACACTGAGAACCACCTGAGGGGAACAGAATCTGAGAACAGTAAGACACCTCCACTTACTCCATAAGCTTATTCATAAACTGCTGAATTTTGTTGAATATAATAATAGCACTGGCATCACATCCACTGGTTGCTCTACAGCACATGCATCATCCTCACTGAATTTCCTGTTTGTCAGCTACTTTGTTTACTCTTCTCAGTTTTCCTGAAGTTAATGAATGCTGTAATCACACTGCAGTTTTTAGTCTTGATTTTAATGACCTCATACACTACTTGATGTAGCTATGACATCATAACCTAATTAACTCTCTGGATAGGACTAGTTTGTCAAGATGGCTGAGCAACCTAAAGATAATCTACTATCAAATGTTACTGTTACATTATTTCTTTCAAAAGTCTTCCACTCACGTATTAAAATACTCCAAAATCATTTGACAGGAAAGCCATTCTAACACCGCTGCTGCTATTTCAGCAAGTGAATATGCTCATGATGACAATATTTTCATATGATAATACTAACATACTCATAAAGACAACACTAACATGTTCACCATGACACTGCTAATATGCTATGCTCATAATGATAATGCTAATATGTTCATAACGTCAATGCTAACATGTTCATAATGCTAACGCTAACATGCTTATAATGTCAGTACTAACATGCTTTTAATGTCACTGCTAACATGCGCATAATGACGATGCTAACATGCTTGTAATGTCAATGCTAACATGCTCATAAAGACAATGCTAACATGCTAATTATGACAAAAACTATCATTTATTAGTATTGTACAGCACTTTGGTCTACCAGGTGTGTTTTTAAAGTGCTATATAAATAAATAAATGATGATAAATGATGATTTTGATTGCAGACATTACAGTGGATCCAAATGTTAACAAGTATGAACTAAAGGATCTTACAAGTGGCACAACATACCAAGTCCAGATATCAGGTTTCACCTCTAAAGGAACAGGAAAACGAAGTGAACCCAACTTTTTTACAACGACTCAAGAAGGTCAGTCAAGTAATATTTCAACCATCAACTGTACATATAATTAAATTTCTAATTTTTTATTTGTGCCTTTATTTATTTATTTGCACAGGAAGTTTTAAATTCACTAGTATTATTGCAGCCATTGCAGTTTTGGCTGCTGGACTGATATTTGGACCACCAATAATAAAAAGGTAAAACTTGTCAACCAATAGCTGGAACAGGATTCCACCAAAGTCGCTAATTAGCTATGTCTACCACTGTGCACAAGCTTTACCTTAACCATTCCTTTAATCCTTTTTAGAGCAAAAGTTGTCCTCTGGCCAAGCATACCTAATCCTGGAAAGAGCAATACAATGCAGAAAATAGACAGGCCCTGTGAACTGGTAAGTGTCAGCTGTGACAAAGCACACAGTTTTAATGTTGTGGAAACCTAAAACAACCTGAAACTTATTTTAGGGGACTGCTATTATAGTCCCAGTGCATCAGATGAAATATGTTGTATAAAATTAAATACATCAGTGTGTCATTTGGTTACATAGGAACTCCTTGAGGTAATCAATACTCTGAAGGCTGAAGAATGGGAAACAAAAAGTCTCCATATAATTGAGAAAGAAGCTGTCGCCCCTGCCACGATATTGCCAGCAATGCTACCGCTTCTTTGTGGTTTAGACAAACGGGGAGATTCACCAGGAATTACTTGTAACTGGATCCAAACAGAGACAGATGATGCAACTGGCAATATATCTCCCAACAATACTACAGACACATTGTTGGAAACCCAGCAGACAGACCTACAAAGTTTTCCTTTTCCCTTTCCAAGTGGCTATACCACGATGGAAATGTTTCAGCAGGTAATGCCACAGAGCATCACTGCCGTTACTCAAGACATGGAAAGTGACCCAGAGGACGCAGACCTGACTGTATTCAATCCTAAGCCAGGACTGGACTATGTAAGACAATTTAGCACCAGTCCAGTCTCGGACAGTGACCACTTGTCCACTATTTTGTGATGAAGGTCAAACTGCAGAGCATAAAGAGGAAAAATCACTATGTGAACAACTTAGTCTAAAAGGCCAAAGTAAGAACTGCTGCCCCTGACTGTTTCTGCTGTGGCTTATGAAGAACAACAATTCAGTTTACCAACAACATGTATTCATTTGGCTAATAAAATCAGCAGAATTACCAAGACAGTGTTTACATCACATTTATGTAAAAAACTTAACCAAAAGAATGGCATGCCAGTTGTTAGAATTGGAGTAAAAAGACAAAACATCCTCCCAAAAAGTGCACTTAACCATTACCACGGTCAATGAATTAGCTATCGATATACTGCTGCATGGGCTGAGCTGAAGTTACATGGTAAGGTTTTAAAAACTGAGCTTTAAAATGATTAGCGGCAATAAAAAACAGAGAGAGGCCGACAGTGATTACTGACTGTTTTTAGGGGCTTGTTGAGATTAAATATAACAAGATACAAAGCATTAAAACATGTAAAAAACACAAAGGCCTTATTAAACGCAGAGTCGTTTGGGCCCGGAAGCAGGATTCATGACGTCATCACTTAAAGACCGAATAGAGGTAGTTGTGCAAAATCTTGTGGCCTTAAGTCATGGGGAAAAAAGGCACCATTCACCAGTTTAACACACAAAAACATTTTCAAACTTTTTGAAGGCTGTTCATTGTCAGCTGGTCTGAAACCATAAGGCGTTACTTGAAATGCTTGTCTTAGCCATGCCGACCTTTTGTAAACCACAATAAATGGAAGGTATGACTGTGGCTTATGCGGTTTTCATCATGTGAACAGATTACTTTTACTTGGAAATAAAGAGCTCTCTTGCCCGACATCTTTTGAGGAGCATGAATGTCTAACAAATTTTGTGCCTTTTTATCTCATTGAAGTTGGGGTATGTCACAGCAGAGGTCAGACGTTTGACCGGAAGACAAATGGTTGAAGCTCAAGGTGTTCACTTTGGTCAGACACTGTTCAATTAACAGAGATTTCTAAAAGCAGATCATATATCGCACACACAGATGAGTGAAAGTGTTATCCGTAAATATGAATTGTTGCTACTCTTTCAAAGCACAGATAATAATACAACTGGACCCATATCGAGAACTGGTGGTGCACCACAGTCAACACAAAGCCCAAGTTACAAAATCAAACAAAATTAGTCAATGAAAAATCTCTTTTATTGAGTGTTTTTGGAAACGGATGTACTGTTAGATTGGAAATGAAGAGGATTTATACATGAAAGCTCTTCAAAAACAGTGGCACCACACTTTTACATAGAGTCCAAAATCCAGCATCAAAGGACCACTCCTCATGGACTGAACCGTCAAACATGTTTATACATAATATACCTTCAGAAGTGGGTAAATGTTTATAAAAATAAAATTCTTCACATACTGAAATACTTGGATTTTTAAAACTACATTTTAAGATGACCACTTCAGACTGAAGATTTGTTTTGTTTTTTTAAATTGTAAAAACAAAGTAAGAAAAAAAAAAGGCAGAAGGCAGGACAACAAAATACAAGCAATCATAAAATCAGGTCTGTAAAATCCAGCAAAGAGGAATTTGGCCACACACAGCCATAAAGTATCCTTTTAAAAACACGTTCAAAAAACAGAAAACACACATACACAAAGTCAAATAGATCTCAATCTGGGGCCAGCTTGCAAACACTCAACCGAATAAACTGAAATAGTAAAAATTGAGAAAAATAGGTCTAGGTCTACTTAATTATTAGTATACTCTGTAACGAATTAATGAGGACAGCTAAAACTTTATTATAATGTCTCGATAGTTTTCAACATCCTAAACAAGTCTCCATATTTTTTCTTAGTGTAGGCACTTTTTGGCCCTAATGTGCTTACATGCAGTTTGTGGACCTTTGACGTTTCCTGTTCAGTCTCTTCTTGGCTGCTTCTGAGAACTTTAATCGCCCCACTTTCTCCAGTAACATCAGCTGACAGACATTTATAGCACATCACCATTATTTTACAGTATAGGCATGTGACTTATATACAGTATAAAACAGTATATAACTTTTTTTCTCCTCACACAGTATTAGAACAATAGCAGGACGTGATACTTTGTGACCTTGTTGCAACTGCTAACCAGAAATAAAAAAAAGTGATTCAATGATGTACAACCAAATGAGTTCACTGTTCACAGCATAAGATAACACCGTTCTCTAATCTTGTCACTATGCCACTTCAAGCCATAAAATTAAAATGCAGTTTGCAGGATGCAACCGTTCCCGGACCATAAAACAAATATGGTGCAAAAAGGGGACTTAAAGGTAACTTCACTGACATCACAGCCCACATTTTCCTTCACCAACATACAAAGGGGCAAATGAACTTTTCAGCATAAGCAGAAATGTTATTTTAAACTCAATATTCCTCTAAGGGACTTTGTGTTTATCCATTTCCTGAAACATCACATATATAATGTGCCATTGCTTCACTTAGTGAAAAGGCAAAAGAAAACCCAAATATGGGAAGTTTCTCGCACAGCCATTGTGTGACCACAGCCAGCGCATTAAAAATAATGGGAAAAACAAGCCAGACTGTGTACAAGTCTGTGGGGGAAAAGAATTAGAGTTAGCTGCTTTAAGGTAGGCCTAGCTTCTAATTAACCAGTCTCTAGTGTAGGAGTGTAACCTTCAGTTTCTTACTTGCATCGCCTTCTTGCTCACCATGTCCTGTTTAACAACACCAACATGATGATGACAGAAAGACTCAGGTTGAGGGTCTAAGATGGGATTTCACGCTATTTTTTTTTTTAATATTCAGATTATGGGAACCCTGCTTTCACTCTGGCTCTCACACAGGACAGGCATGCAACGAACCCTTTATGTTCCTCACTAAACAATTTAAGACAAACATTTGACTCCTGCTGCAGATTGTTGCTGCTTATTTTTACTTCAAAACGTTTTTGAAGTACTCAACTTTACAGTTAATAAATATGTAAATATGTGACAGTCACAAATAACATATCTAGCTTTAAATGAATCGATAAATGAGTATGACCTCTATTCCTCATCTGTGTATCTGGAATGTGACCAACCTTCCTGGAAATGCGGGAACATTACAGTACTACTATACTAGCTGTCAAAAGTTTACGAACCTATACCATAAGGACATAAAAGCAGAAGAAGAAGAAGAAGTTGTCAGTGGAATAGCTAAGCAGAAAAAGTGTGGCCTTCTCTATGATGCTGAGCACTCACTTGCCCTTAAGGTTTGATAGTGAGATTAGGCTGATTTAGAGGAGCCATGTGTGTCACCAGTCAGGGGATGATAATAGGAAAGAAAAAAAAGTAAGATGCCATTCAGTGCTTCTGTATGTACACACTCACGCACACACTCACGCACGTACACAATGGGCAATAAGATACCTGGATGAACAATATTAGTGTCCATGGTGTTGCTGAAGTCACTTTGCACCAACATATGCTTCCTCCTCGTGGTTAGTCTTGTAGCTGCCGTTATGCTGGGCGCAGGGTGATGACGTCATGTCCTCACTTGGTGTGGCTGAGCCTTCTCTGTCACTTTCTTCCTTTCCTTCTCTGACATACCTCGCTTCAGCCTGAAATGGCAACAATGAACGATCAACTTTGACCAACAAAAATATTCAAAGAGAAAAACGCTCAAGTGCAGGAAAACTATGCTGTGCACATTAACAATTATTTGATACTTCCATCTTTTTCAAACAGGAGTTTATCTGACAGTTGTAAACATCAAGTACTTAAGCTTATAGTACAAATATGTACCTAATCTCATACTAATTGATAATAAAAATTAGTATCTGGAATAAGCTGAGGCATCCCCTCATGTTGTCCAAGATAAGGACAATTTTGGACAATACCTCCCACCCAACATGCTGGACAGCCACAGGAGCATGCTCAGTGAAAGACTGATTTACCCAAATGCACCACTGAAAGACACAAGAAATGATTCCTGCCTGTGGCTCTCTCCCTATACAACTCCATCTATAATTACACCCTTTTGCACATGCTCTACAGTGAAAATAACAATGTTTTACAGTTTACAGTAAAATGTCAATCATATATATTGAATCTCTGTAATATTCTGCATATTTATAATTGAGCTTTCCGTATATATTAGAGCTGTTTCTTAGATTTTGTAACTTTGTAATATATTACATTTAGTTCAGTCTGTTACTGTTCTTATTGTCTTGGAGCAACTGTAAATAAATAATTTCATTAAACTATTCTGATTCTTGTGCTTCTTGTTATTATGTCTGCTTGCTAAAAATCAATATTTCACTCCTGTAACAGCCTGCATATCATCTGGAATACTGGTTTAAATCTGGTTTGCGTAACTTTGCAGCAATCAGCACCAGAGCTAAGAGCTCTGATGTTACTTGGAACACATAGGTCAAAGGGAGGAAGAGCAGAAATGTTAATCAAGATGCATTGTATTTTTATAACAAGTTTTCTCTTTTTTTTTTTTTATATATTTGTACCAGCTTCACTGTATATTAAATTAACAGTGACTGTGTTGATTCTGGTTGCAGTTTCATGTAAAAAGCTGTTAACCAAAATACGTGACAAACCCATACGGATGCTGCAGCTCGTCTTGCAGAAATGATGGTGGTTTTTGAGGAGAACATTTGTTTGGCTGTTACTTGTCAAACAAATGTTCAGATTGTTATCAACAGAAAGGCTCAAGTGTCACAAAATCTAAATCACCTTTTATCTCTTGGCTATCATTTGGGGGATCTATGTAGTAAACTTCAGAAGTAGGACAGTCGTGTGGTTTGATACTCAAGTTGGAGACGAATGGAAACATTCACTTGTGCTGGTGTGAATGACATGCAACAATGCCACTACTTTTGAGGTAGAAACTATTCAGAATGGGACTTTCAGAGTGATCTGCAAACCAAAGTGTGCTGAGAACTAAACCATACAGCAAAAGATTGATGTCACATACCAGAAAGACGAAGCTCGTGCATGCAAGTTGTATTATTAAATGCTTCCAGGTCTATGGATCTGGAATAATTAGATAACTCCAAGTATAAGCAACATAATGTGCACATAACTGAGTCATTCCTTATTTGTAAATTATTAGCTTTGTGACTGAAGCGTAATCTGTAATACCTTCCCTGGCTTGGCTTTGCTCCTTATCCTGTCCTCGTCTTTGCGGCTCCTTTTTCTGGACGTGGACCCGTCCCTTCTGTCCCTGCTGCGTTCTCTCTTCTTCTCTCTTTTACTTCTAAAAGTAAGAACCAACCTTCAAGCAAACATAACTGAACCTACAATTGTATAACACAGTAAAAAACTTACCTACAAAAAATGTTTGGCAGCATGAGATGGTTGGATTTACCTTTTTGGTGACGGTGATTTGGCTTTCCTTCGAGGGCTTCTTGACCGATCCTTACTCCTGCGCTTGTGCCCCCTGGTAACAACACTTTATTAAGTGCATGGAGATAAAGGTGTTATAAATAACACATCTTATTTTAGTTAAACGATCAACATCCTTTTTTGCACCACAATAACATACAAACAGCAGCAAATTTAGGGAGATATGAAGATTAAGAATCTGGTGCCCTCTACTGCCAAAGGCAAGAATCACAGGTCTTATTACAGCTGATCAGATTCTTTTATTATTGTTATTATTAAACACGTAATAATCCAGAAATATTCCAGGAGTATGTTGTAGGTGGTCCCATGTGCTGAGCTAAACGACAGTATAACAAAGACATTCAGACTCTTGGGAAGAAAAAATCAATGAGGTTTTTGCCTCACTGCATACCTCGAGCGACTCCGACTGCGTCTCCTGTCTCTGGAGCGAGAGCGTCTCCTGTGACTGCTTCGGGAACTGTGTGAGTCACTGCCCGGCAGCAACCTCTGTGATGTTCTGCTTCAAACAGAAGCAAAAGGGGAAAAGTGTCAACAACTAAATTGTAACGCAACACTAAAACCCTGATGCTAAAAAAGCCAGTCACCTGTGTTTTGAGTGGGATCTTTTCCGGCGTGCCTTTGAGTGTGAACGGGAGCGTGAACGTGAATGTGACCGGCGTGACCTTTGAGACTGGCTGGAGGAACGCTTCTTTGTTTCTGTGAGAGGAACAAGCAGTAATCTCAGTACACGACAATTACTTCAGCAACTTTAATCAAGTCTTCATGCAGGAAGACCAAATATCGTACCAGGTTCAATGGCAGCAGCAATGGTAGACTGTGCTTCACGCACCCTCTTCATCACATTTTCTAACTCTTTAGCAGCAGCCTGAGGCGTCAGCTCTGGGGGTTTCACAATAGCGTTATTGGAATGATTAACCCTGAAAGACAAAAGTATCAACCGGCTCTTAAAACCACGTTATTTTACGCATTTTCCCATTTTACAATTTTAACTAAATGCATACTTCAGCGGTCTGTCTCCAAACATGACTCCATTTAATGTGAGGGCTCTGGCAACAGACTCTTGCTCAACAAACTCTACAAAGGCAAAACGAGTTGGCTGGGTCTCATCTCCGGCCATTCGGACAAACTTCACATCTCCCACCTGTTTAAAGAATTCCAACAGCTGCTCTGCAGTGGTGGTCTGCGGAAAGAAAAGATCAACTCAGTTTAAAGAAACATACAAGCCCCAAAATACAAAGCTTTTTAAAAACTGCTGAACCTAGAACTGGGCAATTTAACTGGTAGAAACTGTTGTCAATGCTCTCAGATTTTGTCACATCTTTTTCTTAATTTTTATTTTCTCTGTTTAACCTTCGGATGTCTGCACTCATCACTGCATTCTGTTTTTATCTACATTTAAAAAAGCAAACCAACTTTTTTAGAACTGGGGCTGTACATGTCATCAATTTACAGATGTTTCACAGATGTTTAAAACAACAGTATTGGCCCAGAATTTTACAACTGAGCTTATAGTTTCCTCAATATGGTGAAGGTGGTACAAGCCAAACCCAAACAAGTAAGTAATAATATTATCATGAGCCTGTAGAATGAGGTCACATGGCCTTTAAATATACGAAGACTTTTATGTTACCTGTGAGTTCAAGTTGCCAACATACACTGTCCTCCTGATCTCATCAATTTTTGAGGGATCCACATTTCCCATGAGCGGCGGCTGGGCGAGTACTGACGACGAGGGGTCGAGATTGGCTGGAAGTCGATTCAATAAGGGAAGGTTCAGCTGCAGGTGTGTGAAACGAAGACACAGGTTTTGTTAGTACTGCACGATTATGGTGAAAGGCATGATCATTTTATTATACTGTCATGTAAACTTAAAGCTGCTTTCACATCCATGCTGTGCCACATTTCTGCTAATGTACAAATATCTGCAGCAAAATAAAATTTGCCCCCCACAACACAAATAAAATACAGTAAAAGTATAAAAGTACCAAAATCAACCACTGCTACAGTTCCTGTTAGTTAACCTTTGCAAACAACAAAAGGTGTTTGTTAGCATGACTTAAGTGTATCACCTAGAAACACATTTAAACAAAATAACTCAATTTACTGTTTCCTACACGGAGGATGTGACTAAAACTAAAACTAAGATCATCATCACATTAACACCTTTGCAAAGGTTTTGACACTTCGGACCAGAGAGCCGTTATTCACACGTGCAATTATTGTTCCATTTACTATTTTCTTAAATCCGCGGTGACTCTACGATGTTTAGTTCACATGTTTGACCACACAGAATGACATCAAATTGGCGATTTCAATGCATTGTTAGCCACACCATCGCACCCTTGCATAGGCTCGCTTTTACGGACATCCGACTGCAGGTGATCCACGTTAGCAACCACAGCGCTGTTGTCTTTAAGTCATGCATTCTTTATCCTGCAGTTTGTGGTGAGTTTTCAGTAAAGCCAAAGTATTTCTAAACAGCAGATGATGATCTGCTTCAGGAGACAAGCTCTTCTACTCGGCTCCACATATGAATTATGTTGCACATCTGTCTTTTAGCATAGTTACTCATCCACATTATTTCAGGAAACTTAAAGCTGCACGCTGCGGGAAAGTATCATGACGTATCATTTAGAGAGTGCCTGATTTGTTTTTGCTTTGTGTTCTATTGGTGAAGCACACATTTTAAACATCAGTTGGTAATAGTTATTCAACAGTGCGAAGTAAAACCGTGATCATGATTTACACTAGAATGGATCATTCTGACCTCGTGAAATTTTAAAAATCATACAACTCTGGTAAAATAAACCCCACCCTCTCACATTTTCATGGCACGCCAACCATTAATCTGAAATACTCGCATTGTCCAATTTTAGTTAAAATTAGATGAAAATTAACAACTTTGACATCTTTGTCCTCTCTGCTGTTGTTGTAGGATGGGGTCAAAATGACACTTCCTAGTGTTAATCTCAATCAAAATTCTGACTTCTTGACTGCTACTGTGTGATAATGAAAATGGATGCTTCACCAGTAGACCACAAAGCAAAACCGAATGAGGCACTCCCTAAATCACTACCTGATGACATGCAACTGTATATTATGATTTACTTGCATGAATAACAGGCAGACACGAATTATGACAGTGGCCAGACTTACATTCTGAAGTGGAGCTGGAGTAGGAATTGGCAGCAATCCCCCACCAGGAATCAGACTGGGTACTGGAGTGGCAGGTGCCAAAAGTGACAAAGCCTTGGCCTCTTCTGGGATTTTCCCTGCAGGACAAAAGCAGATATTAGTGAAGGCAATAGAAAAACTCTCCTCTTTGTCTCCTCTATGTCTGCACAATTAGCCCACTGTACTCTAGAGAGAAAGAGAGCATACACTTCCCATACAGCCTACAAATCTTCTACTGTCTACTCATGATATGCTGGAGACCGAGCATCCTTACTTTGCTTTTATTAAAAAAAATAAAACAAAGAAAAAAAAAACATTTCTCTCAGTGAATCTGAATTATTCTCAATGAAAATCCTTACTTTCTCAAAAACAAAAAGAAAACTTATTTTGTCCTTGGTCTCTTTTCAAAAACATAAAGAAAGGAAGAAAGGAGAAACAAAATAATGCAGAGAATGAGTCAACACTTTGATGTATGGGTCACCTGTACTGGAAACATATTGGTCATGAACCATACGATATCAAGCATGGACGCTTTTCCGTGGGGGGAGGGGGCGATCGTTTCGGAGTGTCGGAAAGGTGTGCAACACAAGACAACCCCAATGGCTGCATCACTAATAGCACACAGAACATCAGATACAGAAAAGAACAACAATTTTAAGAACTGTAGGAAAGGTTAGCCAAAACTTAGCTATAAAAAACACCTAATTAGAATTTTATTTTTTTCCTCTCTGCATTCTAATCTGCTTCCTTGCTGCAGAAGTTAATAAAAAAAAAACAGCTACAGGTTTATCACATCATAGCTGGTGGCACTGAGCATAGAAATGACACATTTCCCCTTCTAATGTTAGAAGGGGAAAAAAAGGAGCATTAATGTCACCAAGCATTAATGCGTTTGACTCACTGCTAAATACTAAACATCCACATTAGAGTCGTAGAGCACGAATATGAGGAAAAAGCCCTAACTGCTGCCTTTTACAACACACTTGAATTACAGATGTGAAGTGCACTTATAGCTTGAAGAATTTTATGCTCCGATGAGGTAAAGTTTTCACTGCCGACTCTCACTTTTTCACAAAGACTAGCCCCTCACTACAACGAGGCGTAGTGGACAGGAGAGTAAAGTGTTAGGGATCCTCCTAGCATCCCATGTGTGACACACATCCCCATCGGTATGCCGTAGCAACCTGGACAGAACTCAATCACACACAAGCTGCAGCTGTAGCGGAAAGAGAGAGGGGGGTGGGGGGGTTGGACAATAATCAAAACAACAAACCAAAATAACAAATATAAACACAACGCTAGAGATAAGCAATATTGTAGTATTCTGGATAGAGACAGTAGAGAGTGGACAACATGGGAAAGTATGAAAGGAAACAAACCAAAAGAAAAAAAAATTCAAAAGGAAAAAAAAAAAAAAAAAAAAAAAAAAAAGAGACAAGGTGTCCATCTTGGAAGGTTCAGCGGGCTATTCTCCTGGTCACATTCCCCCCTTGAAGGCTGCGTTGGCCCGATCGGGGATAGTGGCTTGGAAAACAATGCCTGACTCAGGCTAGTGTAGTAGTGTAACAGCTGGGCCACTCTAGTCATCTGATATGCACACATAATCACACAGAAAAAACATACAAAACCAAATTAATAAACTCAGTAGCCATCCAGCACCAAGTCACGTGGACAAAAAGCATCAAGTCAGAGGTGATATCATTTTGACTGTACACAAGGAACAACAGTGGCACCAAAGAGGGAGGGAGATTTAATGAAAAGAAGCACCGAAACAAAAACAAATAAAAATATGTATCTATGTTTTTTTTAATGAAGAGAGAAAAGGGTGAGTTATTGAGTAATATCCATCAAACAATATTTAAAATATGCATAAAACTATTTTCTGCAGGCAGTCCAGTGTTTAGTGTGGATTCAGCTTCAAAAACATTCAACCTAGCTTTAATGGCCTGTGTGGAAACCATTTTGTGAAACCATACAAGAGACCCTAGCTCGGTGCTATGGGAATTTCTTTTTTTGTAAATGCTGTGGCGATACAACCACTAACCTGTACCAAATAATTGTACACAGACAGTTAAAAAAAAAAAGAAAAAAAAAGACCTAACCAGTGGCACAACTCGACAATTTTTCATGTAGGTTAAAAAAATTAAATAAAATAATCACAATTACATAAAAATAACCCAGAATTCAACCACAACAACTGAATTCAGAGGAAGGAGGTCATAACAAAGTCAAGGTTGTTTCTTTAAACGTAAAGGCCTGCACTCACCTTCCGCACATGGTACTACTATCAAAGCTCTGTCAATAAACACAGTATTAGTGAGATGTTGCGCCACACCAACACTGGAGGGGTCTCGGTACTTTATGTAGCACACTTTGGACGAGAAAGAGAGGGGGGCGTTGCTGTAAACAAAAAAAACGGAAAAGGGAAAGAAAGGAGAGAAAGAAGCGTGGGAACGCGGGTTAGTCATTTCATTTTGTTTCATCTGGGACTTTTTAGTTTATAATTTAAGAACCGCGACAAGGCCGCAGGTCCGCAGAGTTGCTTGACTAGCCATGCCGAGGCAGACTGCTCTTACTCGGGCGGGTAGAGCCGCAACTCCTCGATGTCTCCCAGGAAACCGAAGAGAGTGCGCATCTGCTCGCTGCTCACGGCCGAGGACAGGTTGGTTATCTGGACGACGGGTGTCCCCGGTATCCCGCTCATTATGCAAACTACTAAACGCGACGCAATAAATAACGTTTTTTGTTTTTTAAAAAAAAATTAAAAATATTTTTATTTTTCAGTTACCCTACTGTGTTAAATACACAGAGCATCCAAGAAGGCGAAGCGACAGGGGTTCTTCCTCTTTATTCCCAACAGGAGTAAACAGTACGCTTTGAGGTCCGCTACCGCCCCCTGGTGCATTGTATAGTACACTGCATTTAATCAGTTTAAAATGATTCGTTGGCCATATCGCTCATGGTCGATATCAAGCCAGGAAAAAAAAAAACATTAGTCATTTCTGTCAACTGGCGAAGAAGGTAGCAGAAGGAATATAACATTACAGTCCTATTAAGATATTTTAAGTGGCCAAAAAGGACAGGATTGATTCTAATATAGGTAAATAATGCATAATAATGATAAAATATAAAATAATCTTAAAGATAGTTGCAAAAACAGGTCTTTTTAGGTTTTATCTGTCATTTATATGTAAGTCCTTCGCAAATCCTTTTGATTATAGTTACCAGTATAAGGGATTATATATAGAAGTCACTATTTTAGGACAATACTGGCCTGGTTCAAAATTAACTTTTATTGCTCACCTCAATAAATAAAGTAAATGTCAATGATAACAATTTTTAGCATAATTGTACCTAGGAAAATTAAACCTTGCAGGCTGTGAAAAGAAGAAAAGGAATCAAGCAACTGATCTTCAAAGTGGAAGTAGCACAGCATGTTGGATCCGATATGCTCAAGTTATTCATCCACAGGAGTAAAATATTTAGGGCCAAGCAGAATATATATCACAATGACTTGGTCATCGACAGGACTTATAGACTTTAGTGAAGTTCATGGGTCACTTCAATAACACGAGACTATGACATTTACTTAATACAGCCAACAAATTTGAATGTATGTGTCCATGTTAGTTAGTTACTCATTTATCTTTTTCTTCTTCTTCTTCTGGATGCTTCCTTAAGGGGTCACCACAGTGGATCACCTGCCTCCTTCACAACCTTTTCCTAGCATACTTTTCTGTCACACCAACCCTCTCCATGCCCTCCTTCTCTACATCAGTGAACCTCCTCCGAGGTCTTCCTTTTTTACTCCCGCCTGACAGCTCCATTTTCAACATCTCTTGTCCAGCATATCCACAATCCCTCCTCTACACACGTCCAAACCACGTCAGCCGAGTCTCTCTAACGTTTTCTCCAAACTGAGCCGTCCCTCTGATGTACTCATTTCTAAATCTGTCCATTCTGGTCACTCCCAGTGAAAATCGAAACATTTTAAATTCCACCATCTTTAAACCAAACGTCATAGCATCTCTGTGCATACTGAACGACTGAAATTTGTATTTCCATTTTTTAACTTTCTCAGTGAAGCCAGGGCTTCTCAAAATATTCTATAACCACAATCAGAATACTTTATCCCTAATGAAATTATGTCGAATATTGTGCCGAGATCGCCACAGCAATAATTAAATTAGAAAGTACTGAATATTAGTATCCACTGGGTAACAGATGAAGTTAAACGTTTGAAACACAACTTAAATGCAGATAGTGTGATTGTATACATCTTCAGAATTCATTAAAAACTTTTCGAGCTATTGTGTTTAAAGACATTAATGCACCCAAGTGCAACCAAAAACATAACCTTCAAAAAATAAACATGTTTGGCAATTTTGTTTTCATGAAGTCCGAATCTATATCTGTACAAAAGCATTAAAGAAGCATATATTTATGTCATTGTGTGTGTAATTGACATGACGTGTGAGGTCCGCACACACACACATGTATTTATACTGTACAGTGAGGTCCACAGTCAAGATGTGAGTGAACTGCAGATTTTTACCGTTAATTCAATGGCTTTTACAAAAAAATCTACATTGACTCTTTATGGATGACACTTTGATACACTGCACCCAGAGGACAACTTTGACATCATTTTTAATATAAAGATTGTTTTTAATACTTGGATAAAAATCCTGAAGTGTAGAAGCCACAGATTTTGCCACATCCTCCCTTGAGATGCTGCCAGGCTCTTACTGCAGCTGCCTTCAGTTACTGGAAAGCATGCTATACTGGGCCGACATTTGGTGACACGCTCGGTCACTGAAGCGGCTTTGAATGGGAAAATCCTGGCTTGTGCTGCCATCCCACTAGTTTTGCAACGTGATCCTGCTGCTTGTGTCAGCAGTCACATCATCAGCAAACATCCGCTCTGCTAGATGATGTGATCTTCTTTGGATCATGAGCTCTTCCCATCATTCTGGTACAAGTTATGTTGTTTTCATCTATCCAAAGAACAGTTTCCAGAACTGTGCTGACTCTTTTAGATGCTTTCTTACAAAATCTAATCGGACCTTCTTGTTTTCGATTGTAACCAGGTGTCTTCGGTGGTCTTTCTGGCCAGTGCATTTCTCAGTTTTAATAAAGTAACAAAAAAAATTCTGTTAGGTTTTTTGGTCTAAAGATGGCCTCCTTCACTTGTATAGGTATCTCTTTGGACCCCATATTGAGTGGGTGGGGTGGCTGTAGCTTAGGTGCTAGAGCAGGTCACCTACTGATTGGAAAGGTGGTGGTTCCATCCTTGTCTGCTCCAGTCTGCATGCCAAATATTGGGCAACATACTAACCCCAAGTTGCTCACAGATGAATCTATCAGATTATGAATGCGTGTGAATGGTAGATAGAAGCACTTACATAGAGCATAGGAAGAAAAGTGCTTGTATGTATGAGGTAAGTTGTGTAAAGCGCTATACAAGAACCAGTCCATTTACCAAGAGTTGTCAGATACAAGTTCAACAAATGGAATCAACTTAAACTTTTATCTGCTTAATTTGTCATTAAATAATGAGCCTCATGTGGCCATGAAGCAGTTTATCAACTGTCCAATTACTTCTGAGCCTTTTGAAAATGGAGCACTGGGGGACGATCGTGGCTCAAGAGTTGGGAGTTCGCCTTGGAAGGTTGCCGGTTCGAGCCCCGGCTTGGACAGTCTCGGTCGTTGTGTCCTTGGGCAAGACACTTCACCTGTTGCCTACTGGTGGTGGTCAGAGGGCCCGGTGGCGCCAGTGTCCGGCAGCCTCGCCTCTGTCAGTGCGCCCCAGGGTGGCTGTGGCTACAATGTAGCTGCCATCACCAGTGTGTGAATGTGTGTGTGAATGGGTGGATGACTGGATATGTAAAGCGCTTTGGGGTCCTTAGGGACTAGTAAAGCGCTATATAAATACAGGCCATTTACCACTGACTACAAAAAAAGAAGTTATTAGTTACGTTGGACTTGCACTAAAAATGTCAGGCAATACTTTTGTTACACCTACTCAATGTAAGCCAAAGGTCTGTACTTTAATGATACCGATTGTTTACCATCCCAGTGGATTTTAAACAGAGGCAAAATTACTCCCCAAAAACTTAACAGTACAGTCTGTTATTTATGTAGTGATCCAGTTAATCTAATCCTAGTTTTGCATTCATCCTTTTATATAAGCTCACAGTATAATAAAAGAAAACGACACAAAAATCTGTGTTAAACAGCATTAGTTTATTTTCCACAGGTTACTTCAGAAACAGGTAATTATGTACAAAATCTGGAATGTTGGATAAATGCATATCAATCATCGTCATGATCATCATCATCTCACCGTGACCATTTAGAAAGAGTAGCTATACATTAAAACTGGTGCCTCTGAATTGCAATTTATTGCTGGTTTTACAATCGCAAGTCACTAATGCCATTATGACCTCTTTTCTAAAACTTTTTAAGGGTATTTACAGTTTGATTAGGAAGGTCTGAAATCCAAAGAAGGCTGCTAAATAAATAAAACGGGAGCGTGAGAAACAAACCAACATGGATGAAGAAAGCATGAAAACAAGCTTGATCTCCCTAGATTGTCTACAATGTCAGACTTTATTTTTTATTTTTTGCCATGATTATAAAGTGACCATTAACCATTTCCCATTAAAAGTCAGAGACAGTACAGAAAACAACCCACAAAATTAAAACAAACAAAATCAATAATCTCATCAGTGTGAAAACAAAAAACAGGTTGTGAGAAACTAAAAATGTCAGAAGCACATTATGTTGTCACTTTCCTGAAAACAAAAGTTGCCCAAACTAGACTGAATTTAAAAACTAAAATGGTACAGCTTCATTTAGGTCAGCGTGATATTCTAAATATTATTTTATTAAAAGGGATAAAAATGTCGTCAATTTCCACAGTGTTGTCATTTTGGTTTGTCAGTGCCACATGAATCAAATACTTTCCCACTGTTGCCACGTACAAGAAGAGCTCCTAATCTAATTGGCCGTCGTGAGTCGAGGGGATGCTTCTTGTTCAAACAAGAACAAGAACATTGTTAAAATGCAATTTATATTGTACAACTCAGTGGTCACAAATGTGCGGCTGCAAATGAGGCATTCACTGTCCCAATCAGAGTCTAGTTTTTTACGCTGACGACAATGCTTTAAAAACCACAATTTTCCTTCGGTGACGAACATTACAAATGTTTCGACCTACATTAAAACATTAGAAGACACGGTATGCTACGCAACACACGCTAAAACCTGCTCTTACACAACGCAGAGTTTTTGTTTGTTTTTTTAATCTTTTTTTGAAACACTACCATATATTTATTTCCTGTGCCATTTCATTACAAAAAGATTCTTTTCACAATATAAAAAAATCATGTAAAATCATCAGGGAATACTAAAAGGTTGTGTTGTTTAAAAAAAAGAAGATTTTTTTTGTGTGAATGAAAATAAAGGCTTTAAATATTGCTTCTAAGCCATTATGCTGCAAACGTACTCAGGAGGTTGTGAATATGTGAGTATTGCTTGGGTTCTGGCGTCAAAGGTCCCCCCACCACCCTGTTCAAACAGTTCAAGGTCTATGGCACTTGACAACTGGTTTCTCCTAAATCTATTCTCTGTACAGTGAAGAAAATCCCCAAAACAAAAAGGTGATTAAAACAATGGCTAAACATTTTTATAGACACACAAGGCAACCTATGGTCCATTAAAAAAATAAAATAAAATAAAAAATTATAATAAAACTGCCCGATGTTGAAACCCTCTCAGCTCACTGTCGGCTGCCTGAAAGAGGAAGCCCCTAAAAATAAAAATTAAAAACATGACTCAAGTCTCTCTTAAGATACCTCCTGCTTT